CGTCCAAGCATGATAATCATGATGTGCGTGTTATGTAAAACATGACTACGTGCTACTTTCATGGTGCACTCGCGGCTGTATCACTAACTTCACATATGCCAAGTTTGGTATCACGTGACGTGAACAGATTACAAAGATAATGACACGTCGACACATGATAATCATGACACACGTGTCATGCGAAACATGACTACAGATTACGCTCATATCGCGCTCGCGGCCGTTTTGCTAGCTCTACATATATCAAATTTGGTAACACGTGACGTCAATAGACGACGAAAGTAAACGACACGTCCAGACGTGATAATCTTGACATGCGTGTCATGTAAATATGACCACATGCTACGCTCATGGAATGTTCGTGGCCGTTTCACAGCTCCACATATATTCAATTTAGTATCACGTGAGGTGAATAGACGAAGAACTTAAATGACACGGCCAAGCAGAATACTCACGACTTGAAAGTCATGTACGGCATAATTTATGTCCGCCTTGTAACGTTGGGCTGATTTTAAAGAGCCCCGCCGCAGTGGCCTAGTAGCTAAGGTACTCGGCTGCTGACCCGCAGGTCACGGGATCAAATCCCTGTTGTGGCGGCTGCATTTTTGATGGAGGTGAAAAGGCCATATGCCCGTGTGCTGGGATTTGGGTGCACGTTAAAGAACCCCAGGGGTCGAAATTTCTGGACTTCTGCACTACGGCGTCTCTCATAATCATATGGTGGTTTGGACGGTAAATCTCACATATAAATCATATCAATGCTTATAAAGAGACATGATAATCTTCCTCATTCGTGCTTCGCACATCAGTGATTCTCTCTGTACGTGGGATCTGCCAGTACCTTTCTCATTGTCTCAACGGCAATTGATCCTTGACTAATCATTATTGTAGCAAATTCTATCGCAACAAGATCTGATCATATCCACTCCCCAATCCGAAATGGATTCTTCAAATTGAAATTATACTGTACATTCATCTCTTGGTCATATCTACTGAGCACTAACGGGAAGAAATTGCTCGAACTCAAATGACGCAGTAGTTGCAAACGTAAATAAAAAACGTTATTTTATGATTATAATAAACAGGTTTTATCGGCGTAAACGCCATGTTTGCCCAAACATTGCCTGCAGAAAGCATTCAATGGAGAACCGTGATGAATGATTCAATTTGACAAAATTTATTCTTGATTTAGGGACATAATAAGAAGCGTTATACATAGGTCTCTAATATATATGGTATAAAATGATAATAATCCTATGTGTAGAATTGTCTAGAATGAGATCTGAAATTGCTAATGAACTGTCAGAACGTGGAAAAGTACGATTTCCCCCGAAAGCAATGACCCCAAATCGCTGGAGGCAAGCGTTTTCTAGCCCCGCCGCGGTGGTCTAGTGGCTAAGGTACTCGGCTGCTGACCCGCAGAGCGCGGGTTCGAATCCCGGCTGCGGCGGCTGCATTTCCGATGGAGGCGGAAATGTTGTAGGCCCGTGTGCTCAGATTTGGGTGCACGTTAAAGAACCCAAGGTGGTCTAAATTTCCGGAGCCCTCCACTACGGCGTCTCTCATAATCATATGGTGGTTTTGGGACGTTAAACCCCACAAATCAATCAATCAATCAATCAAGCAAGCGTTTTCTAATGCTAAACCTTTAGCATTAGCCCGTTTTCAGAACGATCGCGTCGGAAGGTCTTGTAACAAAACATGCAGCGTGTTGACGTCTATAATAAATGACACATTCGCCGCATGGGTGAAGCAATATAGGTAATAGCGACAAATCGCAGTGTTATACGATGTACTTACTCATGGCAGCTAAGTCTTTTGAATCCAATCTTGCGTAAATATTAACAGCGCTAGCGTAAATCCATGCCGCCGTTTCAAGAAGAGCACTGTTTTTTTTTTTTTTGGTCTCTTTGGGTTAACAGCACAGCAGGTACAAGAGTTTACAAGCAGTTGCTTGATGCATGCGCGCCAGCGATTAAGGACCGGAACCTTGAGGTATAACTTCACCGCTGCAGTTTGAGCATGAAACGCCCCCTCCCTTATCACTACCCTCTGCGTTTCTTTATGCTCCCTAAAGGTGAGTTGGGCTATAAGTTATCATCCAACTTATTTAACGTTTACATTATTCTGCCTTTACTGGTCTTATAGCTACTGCTTGTAAGCCCCGAGAGGATCACATGGTTCGAAAAGCTGGAAATAGACAACAAAAGCACCATAATATTCAATTCGAATGCAAGCATTGCACCGGCAGCACGGCCAAACTAATTGTATTTGGCACAAGTACCAACAAAACTCTCCGAGAAGCATAAATTCAGTCAAACTTGGATGCAAATGTTAGCTTCGCAATACGCGTATGTTTTCAGCGCGAGCTCCCCGTATTTATTCGCACAGCGCCAGCACGCGGCAGCAGTAAGCGAAAACGAAACACGAACTTGAGGGCCTGCAAAAAGCGTTCATCCACGCACTCTTCAACAGTGGAAAAGGTATGGTGCCTCTGCGGAAGGCCTTGAAGGTGCAATGATTTGGCGTCAAGCCCCAGGATACCCTCTTCCCCAGACAGGGCTAAATTACCAAAACTAACGTAGGATAGGGACACTTAATCAGCTATAATGCAGTTGAAACTCTCAATCACGAAGTTTTTTCCTCAACAATCGTAGGCATGGGCTGGGTTTCTCTTCAGGGAAGGGGGTGAGTTTTATTCGGAGCGCCCCACTCCCTTTTATTTGAGTGTATATGGCTGACTGAGCGCTCACACGCTCACCTGAGGCTCTGTGCCACCCCTTCCTGTGAAATCAATATGTGGGGCTTATATTGTGTCCCTCTCCTTGATTAGAGCACATTGATGCCCCCTTCCCCAAGTGCGGCCTGTGGTGCGCACGCCTATGACAACAGTTAATCTTAGCGCCGCTGGTGAACGTCCACAGAATTCTATGTACTTGACCTTTCTCGATGCTACAGTGACATTAAAAAGCTCTCTCACAGCAACGGCAATTTTATTTACTGATTCACATGGTTGTTTTTTTCAACCATGAGGCAGTTCAAGACACATGAGTTCGCAAATGTAAGTACCGCTCATTCCACAACATAACCACATACATGATTCGCGAACAAGCATTGGTGGGACCATAGCTGTTTATATTCAACAGCATAATAATGATAGAATCAAGACTTCTTTTATTCACTGATAACACAGATATTATAGTGGCTCCGTTTCCAATTACATCGGTGCATGAAGTATGAAATAATTAAACACATAAAAGTGTCGTCATGCCAACAGACAATCTGTAGCCTGTCTATCTTCTTGCTGCCGCGCAGCTTTCGTCGTGCGTGCCGAGATCTATCTTGCTTTGCTTGCGCGCAGTGTTGCACACATTTCAGAAATATACTGCCCTTTAATAAAAAGCACGTTTCTGAAACGTGAACAGACTTGTCAGGAGAAAGCGAAAAATGTAATAAAGACAAGCGACTTCATGTTAAATTCTCGGTGCTTTTGATAACGCTAGCACTTTCCTCGTTGCCACCATGACAACGAACCTATTCAATGTTCCTTTTAAGCTGCGAGGCAGGGACATCAATAGCATCACCGTTATCTCGGGCCGTCACGCTCAAAGGAGCGTGAAACAGAGCGCAATTACAGACTTTCAAAAATAATTTTCGTGTTGTGAGGGTAAGGTTGCGTGTCTGAATTCGTGAGAGTTTTGTGACAACAAAATTCACACGATAACGAACAAAAATGACATTCATGGTGGTTTCGTTATTCAGGGGTTCGCCTGTGTTGCGCGACAAAACCATAGAATTGACACTCTGTGCCACATCGTGTGAATTGCTTAGTGAATTATTGGTTCAAAGGACTCCTGATAACGAAAGTTTTGTTTCCGACTTTTTACAGCAATTTGTGAATATGCGTCTGCTAGTCGTAAAATGAATCGTTCATGCTCTGGCGCATCGGATATTTATAGGCAGCGTCGTTCACTTAGAGCGTCGTTCACTTGTTCATTTTAACAATTTTATAGCAAATGCCTGTCAGAAGTCTATATGAAACTGGCACCTCGCCGCAGGAAAGGTCTTGTGCATACGTGTGTTTAAGATTTTGTCACGCTAAAACGACCCGTTTTCTAATGGGGGGTACCCTACGGGGTGAAAAACAGAACTATATGGATTATTCGCCCACGTCACCTGAAAAAAGGAAGGCTTTGGCTGCGTAAGCAGACCAAAACTACCCTGAGAGCCACCCGACCACAAAAGCGAGCGGGGCGCTGAGCAGAAGTCCTCGCCGGGAGCCAGTCGGGGTAGTGTGAGCGCCCCACAAATGATATTTGACGTTGACAATTATTCGTGAAACGCCACGCGGATTGTCTATTGACGCGAAACCACAGAAGATTGCGATTGGTTTTGATAACTCAGATGAGCCCTCACACTTACTCTAGGACTAAGTTACTGTATTTTTTATCGCCAACACTCATCGGTGAAAATCGGTCAGAAGTGCCTCCGCATGCATTTCTGAAAGAAAACAAGCATTTCGTGTTTCTAAATACGGTGTCAGGGGTATTTTAAATCAACCAGTTCATTAAAAAGTGCTCAGCCATACTAACAATCTGCTGTACCAGCATCAAAGCATCAATTAAGCGACCATTAAAAATGTCTGCATATATGCTTCACAGTCTTTAGTCGGTACATCGCTACTTGTGAAAAATGATAAGTAATAGCGTGTACTACGAAAAGCGGCCTCAGTAGGCAGATAAAATACGTTAAATCGGCAGACCTCAAGTGCACAAACATCACAATATTGTGTAGATTTCCACCTATCAAAGAAGCACGGCCAGCAGATGAGAAGACGAGGAGAGCAGGGCCCTAAACTCTATGGTGGTCCATTCCTAAATCTGACGCCTAAGTGCCCACTTCACTTCTGTTTGTTTGTGAACTGCACTCATCATTGCCTATAAGAGTTGTGTTACGTTGTGTGAGTGACCGTAAACTCAGGGCTATTTCTGGCATTTCAGATCATGGACATCCGTTCTTAGCCACTCTACCTTTCTTTGTTGACAATACCTGCTTTGTACTTGCAAGTGGCAACTTCGGAGGCCGTAAGTTCACTTTTACGAATCATTTATCTCTAATAAAATCTGAGCTTTGAGGTCCCGAAAGCATGACATTGTTACAAGTGGGATGGGTTTATTTACAGTGAAGGCCAGCGCTTGACCCGACGTGCTCGTCACGTGGCTAAGGTACTCGGCTGCTGACACGCAGGTCACGGGATCGAATCCCGCTTGTGGCGGCTGCCTTTTCAAGGAAGGCGAAAATGTTGTAGGCCTGTGTGCTCAGATGAGGGTGTACGTTAAAGAAACCCAGGTGGTTTAAATTTCTGGAGACCTCCAATACGGCGTCTCTTATATTAATGTGGTGGTTTTGGGACGTTAAACCCCGCATACCAAGGCCAGCACTCAACCGAAACTGCAAAATATCCATTACTCGAGACTGTCTTCCTCTTTTTTCGCGCACTTTGAGTTCGCGTTGCATTTTCCTCCAGGCAAGACGATGCTCACCGAGCGAGTTGAAGCGATTGCTTGTGGTAGGGCTTCAAATGAGCTATATGCACGATTCGCGTCTTACGCGAACGCTGGTTTTGAGTAGTGATTTTCGAAACGACGTAAGTGACGTCACTCAAGCTCTAAGTATTCACGAATGGTCTGGAGTACTTGGAAAGAAGCTTCTGGCATAGTCCCCTTTTTCGAACAGGCGTCCAAAGCCAGACAAAATCACCTATAGGGAAAGTCAAAGGCGAATCTTTTGCGTCATAACGGTCTTTCGCGTGAGCCTGGGTGGAGTCGAGTAAGCAGGATTCCAAAAGTTCGGAGCCGAACAACTCGACAAGCTTCTTAGGCACGACAAAACGCCTGCATGACAATGGCGTTTTTGCTCGTCGAAAAAGCAAGAATGGTGTCGAGAAAATTTTGGGGATAACGGGCGTAGAGAAGAGAGACAGATGTATAGAATGTGACCTCATGTTTTGCGGTATTTAAGGCGTATGCCATCATCATCATCATCATCATCAGCGTCATTATCATCATCAACAGCCCGACTACATCCATTGCAGGACAAAGGCCTCTCTCATGTTCCGCCTGTTAACCCGGTCCTGTTCTTCCTGCTGCCAATTTATACCCGCAAACTTTTTAATCTCATCTGCCTACCTAACCTTCTGTCTCCCCTAACACGGTTCCCTTTCTGGGAATCCAGTTTGTTACCCTTAATGACCAGCGGTTATCCTGTCTATGCGCTACATGCCCGGCCAATGTCCTTTCCCTCTTCTTTATTTCAATTATGATATCTTTAACCCCCGTTTGTTCCCTAATCCACTCTGCTCTCTCCTTGTCTTTTAAAGATACACCTACAATTTTTCTTTACATTGCTCGCTGCGTCGTCATCAATTTAAGCTGAACTCTCTTTGTAAGTCTCCAGGTTTCTGCTCCGTAGCTAAGTACCGGCAAGATATAGCTGTTATATACCTTCCTCTAGAAGGATAGGGGCAACCTACCTGTCATAATTTGAGAGTGCTTGACGAATGTGCTCCACCCCATTCTTATTCTTCTTGTTACTTCAAAGACATAGTCTTTTACAACTTCAGGTGCACTATTTTCTATCTCTAAGCACTGCTCTTTTCCGAGGTTCTTGTACATTACTTCCATTTTCTGCAGATTAAATTTAAGACCCACCTTTCTGCTCACCTTGTCTAAATTCGTAATCATGAGTTGCGACTCGTCCCCTGAGTTACTCAGCAATGCAATCTCATTGGCGAAACGCAGGTTACTAAGGTACTCTCCATTAACTTTTATCCCTAACTGTTCCCCTTCTAGGTTTCTGAAAACCTCCTGTAAGCACGTGGTAAATAGCACTGGGGAGATTGTGTCCCCCTGTTTTACACCCTTCTTGATTGGTATTCTGTTGCTTTCTTTATGAAGCACTATGGTAACAGTTGATCCCCTGTAAATTTCTTCCAGAATGTTTATATATACTTCATCTACGCCTTCATTCCGCAGTGTCTGCGTGGCGGCTGATATTTCTGCTGAATGAAACGCCTTCCCGTAATCTATGAAGACTATGTATAGTTGTTGGTTATATTTTGAGCATTTCTCTATTACCTGATTGACAGTGAGAATGTGGTCAATTATTGAGTAGCCTGTTCGAAATCCTGCTTGTTACTTTGGTTGATTGAATTCTAATGTTTTATTTACTCTGTAAGCAACTACCTTTATATATAGCTTGCATACTACAGAGAGCAAGCTGATCGGCCTGTAACTCTTCAAGTCCTTGTCACCTCTTTTCTTATGTAACAAGATGATATTAGCGTTCTTTCAACACTATGGTACACTTACCGCCAGGAGACACCTTTTAAACAGGGTGGCTAGTTTTTCTAACACAATATGTCTTTCATCTTTCAGCATATCTGATGTTGCCTGATCGTCACCAGCAGCTTTGCCTCTTTGCCTGCTCTCCAAAGCTTTTCTGACTTCGTCTATCATTACTGGTGGGGTGTCATCTGAGTTACTGCTATTTCTTATAGTACTAGTGTCATGGTTGTCTCGGCTACTGTACAGATCTCTGTAAAACTCCTTCGCTATTTAAACTATCCTATTCATATTGGTAGTTATTTTGCCTTGTTTGTCCCTTAGTGCATACATCCGATTTTTGCCTATCCCACGTTTTCTCTTCACTGCTTTGACGCTTCCTCCGTTTCTCAGAGCGTGTTCGATTCTCTCCATGTTATACCTTCTTACATTGCATAATTTACGCCTGTTAATCAACTTCGAAAGCTCTGCCATTTCTATTTTGTCTGTTGTACTTCACACTTTCATCCTTTGACGCTTCTTAATTAGGTTCTTCGTTTCCTGAGAAAGCTTGCCAGTGTCCTGTCTAACTACCCTGCCTCCAACTTCAACTGCACACTCCGTAATGATACTCGTTAGATTATCATTTATTGTACCTACGCTAAGGTTGGTTTCCTCAGTAAAAGCCGAGTACCTGTTCTGTAGCGAGACTCTGAATTCCTGTACTTTCCCTCTCAGTGCTAGCTCAGTGATTGGCTTCTTGCGTATTAGTTTCTGTCGTTCTTTTCTCAAGTCTAGGCGAATTCGAGACCGTACCATTCTAGGGTTACTCCATCGTACCTTGCCAACCACTTCAACACCCTGCGCGATTCCTGAGTGTGCACTCATTATAAAGTCTATTTCGTTCTTATTTTCGCCATTAGGTCTCCTTCATGTCCACTTGCGGCTTCCTCGTTTTCGGTAGAAGGTATTCAAAATCCGCAAACTATTGCGTTCTACGAAATCTACAAGTGGCTCGCCTTTGGCGTTTCTAGTACCGATGCCATAATCTCCTACTGCCTGGTCTCCAGCCTGATTTTTCCTTACCTTTGCATTAAAGTCACCCATCACTATAGTATACTGTGTTTTTACCTTACTCATTGCTGATTTCACGTCTTCATAGAAGCTCTCAACTGAAGCGTCATCATGGCTGGATAAAGGCACGTAAGCCTGTACCACCTTCATCTTGTATCTTTTATTCAGTTTAATTACGATACCTACCACCCTTTCACCCTTTCATTAATGCTATAGTATTCCTCTATGTTGCCAGCTATGTTTCTGTGAATTAGGAACCCCACTCCTAGTTTTCTTCTGTCTGCCAAGCACCGATAGCAAAGGTCGTACCCATTTTGTAGCACCGTACATGCCTCATCTGTCCTCCTAACCTCACTGAGCCCTATTATATCCCATTTAACACCCTCTAGCTCCTCAAATAGTACAGCTAGACTTCCCTCACTAGATAAGGTTCTAGCAATAAACGTTGCCAAGTTCAGGTTTCAATGGCGGCCTGTCCAGATCCAGAGATTCTTAGCACCCTCTGCTGCATTGCAGATCTTACCGCCGCCGTGGTCAGTTGCTTCGCAGCTGCTGGGGACATAGGGCCGTGAGTTATAACGTATGCATGTGGGATGCAGTGGGCAGATACTGCACCAGGATGGCCAATCTTTCTCTGGTGAGGAAATGTGTTTCCGGCGGTGGTTACGGTGAGGCCCCACCCCAGGCATCTTAATGCAGTTCCATCACCACGCAACTTTTTTATCCGGTTGGGAAATGCGTGGCACCGAGATTGGAACCACGGACTTTTTGCATGCGAGGCGGGTGCTCTATTCACCACGCCATCGCCACACTCTTTATGCGGCGATGGCGTATGTAAAGAAATGTAATACGGCATTCCAGTTCTTGCGATCCGCTGCGACGTACATTGAAAGCATGTTGATGAAGTTACGATTGCTGCGTTCGGTGAGGCCATCGGTCTGAAGGTGGTATGGTGTAGATTGCCGGTACTGGTACCCACAAAACCGAGGCAACTCTTCGACAATGTCAGCAGTAAACTGCCGGACGCGATCACTTATCACCACGCGAGGAGCCCTGTGACGGAGTATATTTGAGTGCAGATGAAACCATGAGACATCAGATGATAAGCTGAAGCAACTGCCATCATTTCAGTATACCGCGCCAGGTAGACTACGCACACAATAATTTAGAGGTGACCGGCGGTAGACTTGGGGAAGAAGCCCAGTAAATGTATGCCGACTATTTCGAACAGTGATGTCAGTGGCTTACCGGTATAAGTGGGCCGGCCAATGGCGCCGTAGGTTGTTTGTGGTGTTGGCATACTTCACAACTCGCGACGTGTTGCTTGGTGGTCCTCCGAAGTCGAGGCCAGTAGAAACGTTGTCGGATGCTGTGAAGCGTCCGGGCCAATTTAGGGTGCCCAGTCGTGATATCAACAGGCATTGCTTGGAATGCCGGCACACGCAGGCATTTCGACACGACGAGAAGTAGTGTGGCACCATGGCTGGAGTAAGCCTTGTGGTATAGTAGGCCATCATGAACGAAGAATGGCGTGCCACGTTTAGAGCTACGAGCTACATCGATTATTGGTTTCAGCGAAAGGTCACACTCTCGCTCATAGCGGAAAACATGCATATTTAGGAATTTGGAGAATATTGCAGCCAGGTAATTATCAAAATTGTCGTCATCAGTATCTAGTTGGATATGGA